AGAGTGTGAATTTTTATGAAAAGTGCTGAATTGCTTTGAAAGAGTGTGGACTATTTGCAAAGCTGGTCGAATTTGGCTTTGAAAAAGTGGAATATGGTGTGAAAAGTGTGAATTTGGTTTGAAAAGTGGTAATTTTGATTTGAAATTGTGAAACTGTTTGGAACGTCGTGAAATCGAAAGTGAAAAATGTATACATGTCTAAATTAAATTACTCATAGTCTTGCCTATTTAATGCCTCATATCTTCATGCCATTTTATTCCACAGTAAATTTCGATTCTGCGGCGAATTGTTGCACGACGAAATTTATATGTTACCGAATAAATTGAAAACTATTTTGAACAAACTTGTGCTGGATGACCTGGCCGGGAGATGCTACGCTCCTCATCCGATGCTGTGTTTCGGCTTTAGCAAAAGATGCGGAGAAGGTCACGGATTGTACAGGATAGGTACAAATTATAGCAGTATAGCGCATCTGCAGAATCTCTTTGGTTTTTCTGGGTTTCCACTTCGTTTAGACCACGGCATTTTTTGTGCGCCACCGAAATTAATGTTATTCGCTACTGATGGCGATTATATGCTAACTATATGTTAAGCGCTTCTTCCTGCGCTAGATTTGAACACTGCACAGCGCAACGACAATCAATTGAAACCGTTTTTTTTATGAGTCTGGAGCTTTAATCATATCAGAGTTACAAACATACATTTACTCACCTCAAGCACAAGCGCTTCTTAGACTAATCCTACATTCGTGTTGCCTTGCTTTTCTGTCCCGTATATAGTAATTCCCCTTCAATCGTTGAAGAACATCGTTTTAGTTATGTTAGAAGATTCAGTAGTAGTACTTGAATCCGCCGACGCTGAGGTTGCTGTAGTGAATCGTGATGAAGCGCAACCACTAGGAGCTACCGCTCCTGCAATTCGGTTCAGATTCCCTGAATCGTGGATTTTTGTCAACATTAGCGCAAGGCAAGTATAGGCTAATGGTTTCTGTTTAGAAATGATCGGTGGAAATCCAAATCAAAGCTATGGCACCATTCGTTCCTAGCAGGTTTTTTATAATGCGGTTGTGATCACATACATGGTTTTCGATTCTGTCGACCTTCCGTAGATACGCTGTACGCTGTGTTGCGAGGGAGATCCTGACCATGTGCGAGGTGGAAAGGCTGTAAGAGGTGCCACAGATGTCCTTCGAAGCAGGGCCCGTCAGCCGTTGTCGAAGATTTTTGCAGAATACGGTCCCCTTGAAATTTCATCCTCTGGTATGACCCCCTTCCTCAGCTCTGTCCTACCTACCATCCTCCTAAATTTTCCAATCTTCTCAACTTCCCATCCCATTTTTGCGGTTCTTTTTTTAATGAAAATTCTCCTTGAAAGAGTACGCAGCCTAATGTGGAGGAACAACAAGCAAACGCGAGAGAACTCAGACAGATTACGCGTTTGGGTATGGTTAGTTGTAAGTCTGCTCGTGCTGCATTTGCTTATCTGCCTTTTTTCAGCTGTGGGTGATGACAAACAAGAACACTAAGCTATCACTACCATCCAGCCTCCTTCCAGGCGCATTTTCCGATGACGAAAGTTGTACACTTCTGCAGCTGCACCTCACAAGTTTGTATCACTCTGCCAGCTGCCCACCTCAATATGCAGAAGATTGGCCTTAGGATGACCGCACATCGTATCTTTAAATCTTGCCCCGTCATCAAGTCAGCGAAATATTTTAGATCCTTACTTGGACACTCTGGCTACTCTATCACACTCTCATCTTGACCAGGCCTTTCTATTCGGCCAGTGTTTTTCAGATCAACATTCCGTCTGAATGCCGACTCTTGATTTCGCAGAAGTTCCCCTACAAAGTTTGAAGCAAAAAATTGAAAGTATGGCGAACGTAGGCTATAGAAGGAAGGGAGCCGTGACTCTCTATAGAAATTTGAGAGGCGAGGGCGTTCTTTTACACTCATTGAACATGCCATCTACGGGTTGTTTTCCATCACCAGTTGGTAGCATGCAGTTTATTCCCGAATCGCCATGGAAAGCATTCCTGCCTCAGTGAGCTTCTGTCGCCCTCAGACAAGCAGCTTGACAGTGCACGACAGTGCATCCGCGTTAAGGCGTGCGGGCGAGCAATGTGTACTACGAAATCTAAGGAACAAGGAACGCGGAACAGGGGAGATTACACAGACCTGAGGCTTCTCGCCACCCTTTTTGCGTGGAAAGTTAATGGCATATTCACGCCGCAGTGGATCTGCTCATCTCGCACGGCGAAAGGGATGCGCCCAACTCCCTACATCTCGAACTTCAGCGATTATAATTCGCAAACATGGCGACCGCGACTCCACTGCTTCAAGCTCTAAGCTGTTGAGTCCTAGCAACTGCTAATTCAATTCAATAATTTTGAGAAAAAAAGCTTGAATCTGAACCAGTCCGGCTGAAGTCGCTCTCGAATATAACACGTTTCGAGGTGTTAATGCCTGCAAACGCTCTCTCTCGACTCAAGATTCAGTTGCGGTGCTATGGCTTTTGTAGTTCACCAATGCTATTTTGATAAAAATCAATGATCATGACAGCGTAGTTTTTCATCTTTTGAGCACTCTTCAGTCGTGCATCCGTGGTGGAATGAGAGTGGAAATGCACTTGATAATGACTATGGCGTGTGTCTGACTCCTTTGCAGTGCGACCAAATCAGCATTAAATCATTTATCACTCTTAGATTTTAGTGATTTATTATCGTATTGCCGATCGGATGGCATAACGTTTGTCCCGGTGCGATGCACCAGAGGGTGCCATGTCGCATGCGGCAGCGCCCAGTTCACCTCCTGACCATAACAATAAGTGATAGAACAAGTTTCAGAGAATGGCTGTTGATTATTTTGAGAATTAGTGGAAGAGTTTTGGTTCCCAAACAACATTCATTCCACGGTGTGTTAGATACTAAAAAAGAGACTTCTCGACTCTGATGTCTTGCAATTGCATGAAGTTCACCGCTGTCGGAAATTGCTAAACTTACCTTTGACGTGCAGGTAGACAATCTTGCGTCTTTTTGCTCTTCAGCGAGGAGATCTTTTCGCAGAGACGCACTTTTTGGAAGCTAGGGAGGTCACTCTTTTCACCCGTTAAGACGAATACCGCTTCGCAGCATTTGCCCATTCATTTCCATTGCCAGAATTGAAATATAAGGATTCATCCGGGCAAGTTCCTGCAAACGATCTATACAGTTTACCTCCTTAATGTCCGTCTTCCTTCAAATCCCTAGTAAGTGCACGAGTTGATGGCCTATGCTCCTTTAATAGTGCGCTGCTTCGATGTTCCTTGTGGCGAAAATCCATGTTCCTGGAATTAAAATAGATGTAAGTGGTGAGTGCATCATAGAGGCTGTTGCGGTCATCTGTACAGTGAGTAATCAGCAAGTTCCTATGCACCACGCCCAGTTAAAGAGTTCATTCAATACAAGCTGGCAAAAACAGAACGAGAGGAAGCACCGGCAAGTCAAAAAAACAAGCCAAACTTTAACCATGTAAGTTACAAGGAAGCCGTTCGGAAATACGCTAGCTAGAGTGAAAAAGCTCTGCGCCGCACAATAAGGGGTGGCTTCACGCAGAAAAAGTGCTGAAGCTAAGAGCGCGGATCCGTGGAGACTCAAGAACTCTTTATCGCATTATCGGTGAACTGACTGGAAACTCGAAAAACTCCAACGTGCACATTGAAGATAGCAGTGGCAGGTTGCCCAGAGAGCTATGAGAAGCTAGATACGAAAGATGGCTCGAACACTTTCGCGATGTCCTCAACCAGCCGAGACCAATGGAAACATATTGTTTCGATGAATCAATCAATGATCTTTCGGCGAATCATGAAGATACGATACATGGACCGTGTCACGAATGAAGAAGTTCTACGACGGTGCGGTATGAGCAGCCTTCACGTGATTGTGGCACGGCGTAGGCTTCGACTGGCTGGCCACATATTGCGCATGCCACAACATCGAATCCCAAGAGTGGCCATGTTCTGGATTCCTCCAGGAGCCAAGCGAGCACGAGGCCGTCCCAGAAACTTGTGGAGACGAGACTGACTTGCGAATCATGAATGCTTCTAGGGACCAGGCCGAGGAAATCGCGAAAGACCGGCAACAGTGGAAAGAATTCGTCGCCCCGAATTCGTGTGCTCAACAGCACGGGAGGAACTAAATAAGTAAAGTAGGATGTAGGAGGGGCTCGCACTCGAGGAGGAGATCAGAGGCGGAGGGGAATGGGTGTTTTCGTTCCCACCCATATTCAAACACCGCCATTTATTCCATCGCGATGATGCAGCCTGCCTCGGGTAAGCCTCATTCGGACTTAGAAAGCAGGGCATTGCATCGGTAAGAGGTCGCAGACAAGCATTCACTGTGCAGTTACACCCAAAAACATCGATCAATTACAAATCTTAGCCTCGTTGCCAAACCTCTTTCGAAATCTGCTGCTGCAGATCTGCTCGTCCCGCACACTGGGAGGATTTCACATCTGGCCGCCTTCATACTTCTCGACCAGGTTAATAGATCAAGCGACTGCGATTAACCGCCCTACACCGCTAATCATTATACCGCTGTAACTTCTATCAAGATCCATGAATTTTGAAACCGAAATATGATGAAGTTGCAATTAAATCGGTATTGCCACGGAGTAGACGAGACCTGAGATGTACAGTTTTCGGGTTCAGTACGCGCAGATATACTCGAAATCCCTGAGATCGGGTAGGCGTGGCTGCGTACTTGATTTTAAAATGGCGGCGGCCCAGGTTTTCGTGAGATATTGTCATTTTGGAGCAGTCGTAATCATGTCTACATCTAACACAGAACAAGATAGCAGTTGTTTCAAATTGAAGTATCCCACGAGAAACCCGTCCTATGCCATGCTCAAAAGCCACGCCTACTCCGTCTCAGGGATAAGGAGTGTATGTACATTGCAATGACCCTCGCTGTTTACCCCCGACCGGTTCTAGAGATTCTAGTCTGGATAGTTTGATGTTTTTTATGTATGTAGCTAACCAGTATCTTCGGTCATGCATCCACAGTGGAGTGATGGTGGGAGTGCCTTGGAAATGTTGTGTGTATGAATCCTTTGCAGTGTGACAAACTCCGCACTAGGTCATTTTTTTACTCATAGATTTTAGTGATTTATTATCGAATTGCCGATTACCCTGTCCCAGTTGCGATGCGCAGAGAGGATGCAGGTGTTGCGGCAAAGAGCAGTCCAGAACCTGCACCAATAGTACTTAGAACGAAGTTTCCAGAGACATGGCTGTTTGATTACTTTGAGATTAGGTGAGAGTTTTGGCTCCTTATTTTAACATGAATTCCTCAAAATCTTGTGAGATCTATCGTCTAGTTCGCGGCGGGCGAAGGGGTGTGGCGGGATCAGTTTGGCGCGGTGCCAGACCCGTGCTGAAGTCATCCCGCCACGCCCCTCCGTCCGCCGCGAACAGGAGAGATTGCTGTTCATAGATTGTCCCCATTCTTTGCCGAGCGGTGGATTGCCGTGATAAGGCTGTCCCACGAAACCTCGTCGCTGTGTAATGGCGCGCTGCTAGTCATTAAGGGTAGAACTGACCAAGTTCTAGTTCCAATCTCCTCCATGTTTCACTTTTGACGTTAGTCACGCCTGGGTGATTCTATCGTGGAGAGTTCAGGCAATTAGCCATTTTCCGTCTTCTTTCATATTTCGTTTGACTACTGTAGTGGAATCATTGACTGAGCGACTAGTGTAGCGACTTACTACTTAAGTTAAACACCTATGGACTGGACTAGTAAATGTTGTAACAGAAATAATTGGTAGGTGCATCCAAATAATTCAATGATCACTTACGTAGAAACCTTACATAGAGGCCATTGTGGTCATCGTCAGTGTCAGTGAGTACCCAGTGAGTTCCAGTGCACTACGCCGAATTACGGGGTAGTATTTCGGAGATACTGATGAGAAATGTGGCAATAAGAGATGCGGAACGTTCACGTCTATCTGTGCGCTACAGGACCACTTTCCTGGCACCTGGATGGTGCTTTTCATGTGGACAAGGTGGGACAAGTCGTCTGGTGTGACTAAAGTGCCTCCTGAGGTCACTAGTGGCAACTTGTGGTTAGACAAAATTACGGCGCAGTTCTGCTGGAAGTGGGGGGAGGGCATTTCGCACTTCGTCTGCCTCCCATCATCGAATCCATTGTTCACAAATGTTGATAAGTATTTTTCAAAAGAGTTGGCAAAGTTTTTGCGAACTTCGATTGGCATTACTTCATGGCTTCGCAAGATTTCGCATACCTGGTGGCTCGCTACCAAAATGGGAAGTATCGGAGGTGCGAACTGTCCCACCCAAAACGAACTGCACCGAAATTACACTGGTAGTGTAAGCAAAGAAAGGAACATTCGAGAAGGATTTACACTGCCAGAGCACAGATTACCCGTTTCGTATGGTATCGCAGACAGTCATCATTGTCTAGCCAACCCCCGAGTCCCAGTGCGACAGTGTTGCACATGAGGATACGACAACATAAGCGGAAGGTGTTGAGAAATAGGATAAAACGAGAGAGAATGTAAAAGTAAAGGGGTATACATGCAAAGTTCATGCATATCAAGATGATGGCCAATTATACATAATAATGAAAGAGTGATATAACACGATATGAGTAGTAAATACGTGTAGGAGGAAGGAAAATTGGATTATTAATAGGTAAACAGGCATTAGGTACGATGGCTGGGCGACCGGTTGCTGTCACCGTCACTGGTGGAAGGGCTGGGTGGGGTGTGGCCAAACTATTATCCCATCCCTTCATCCAGTGACGTTGGCCGCCGCCCCCAGCATCGTTCCTTCTGCCTTTAATAAATGTGTTGTATATAGGTTCTCGAAAAATATCTTTGAAGGAGGGGAAATTATCAGGGGTATAGGTCGTAAGTTAGCATCTCATATTACTGATCTATTCCTGACGAAAGAATCGTTTCAGCTCCAACGGCGAAGCAGTTTATCAGTCCTTGGCACCAGACACAATCACATCATGGGTGGCAAGCGCATTTGCCATCAACGACAACTCCGGATTGGGTGTCGCGCCGACCACGTCCAAGGTGAGGGCTGCAGCTTGGGAGTATGTTATGCAGGACACAAAGGAGTCGTGCTGGCCACTAGAAGAGGCCAAGCACGACTCCTCTGTGATTTCCACAACATTGGGGACTCATGTATTACGCCTTTTCACGTTGGGAGGATTCCTGCTTTCGACCGCGCATAGTTTATGGTTGGAATCGTCGCAGTTATTCGGGACAGTGGGAGAAGGGCCGAATGAGTCCGCCTCCGGCTGCCTTCTATATCAATAGCAATCGATTAGTGATCGATTGATGACGAAAACAACCAGTGCCAGAAAATGCTGCGGGTGGGCTCATTCCACGCCTCTTAACATCGCCCTGAATGCTCCGACGATGTGGAGTCTCAACAATTTTGGGGCGGAAGGAACTCGAAGTTAGGGAAGAAGGCAAATTTTGAGATGATGTCGTACCGATAAATATGGGAGAAGGGGGCTCGCAATACTTTTCCACAACGCAGTGATATGCCCTGTTGTTACATTGTGTGATTCCTCGGATCCTCCGTAATCTTTTCCCTTTCAGTTGCGAGTGTTCCGTCCATTTTTCATCCGCTTGAATTTGCCATACTCAGTGAAACGTGGCGAGAAGTTTGCTTTACAAGTGTTGGTGTTCAACTACATGGAAAAGGAACAAGACGTAATGTTTGGAAATCTGCCTGAAGGGTCGTCAGTTGAGTGAAATCCGTGGACTTTAGGTTACGGTCACGCTCAAACACGATGACAGCTCTGGTTTCGACTTTTTGAATAAGGATGGCAGCATACGGAAAAGGTTTGTTCTCAGATATAGTCCTCTCATTCCCTCTCAGTTTAGGTACAAAGACCACACCATAAGCATCCTTAAAATGAGAAAGTTGATTTTCTTCACAGATTTTCACCGCTCTTAAGCGCATCGTTTACTGCATAGTCAGCGTCTGAAACATGGCTTTCGAAATTTTCCAGGCAAAGTAACGCCGGGCTATTTCAGTCGTGACACTTCTGAAAACTACAACATTCGTGTTGTGTCTGTACCGGGTGGTGGAGTGTCGAAAGCCGTCTACTTCCCCATTGTGCCAACCGAGATAGGAATGGTCAAGCTGACCGTCACGGCTCAAGCAGCCCAAGCTGGCGATGGCGTAGAAGAACCGCTACGAGTTGAGGTTAGACAGTTCACATTTACGATCGTTGAGAGGATCAAACTATCTCGTATTTGCGTCTCGTTACGAACATTGTGACATAGTACCTTCCACCACATTTGTGGCGTTCTTGTTAAAGTTGACCAGAAAAGTGTAGCCTACCCTTAGTAGCAGTTTGGCTTAGTGGAAGAGAGGGGGGGGAGGGGCAGGAAAGCATTTATTTTTCCCATCGGTCATTGCCAGTGCCTCGTACGGCGACCTGTAGATTTTGGCAGGGCGGTGCACTAGCACGAGCTCTTTCAACTGGACAACGGTTCAGAGATCTCGATAGCGTGGGACATGTCTTTTCACAGGGAATAGGAAAGTAAATCAAATCACAAAATACTACCCCCCCCCCTCATAAGCCTAACAGCTCCTTTTTTTTTTTATGGCAGCTCGCCATCTGTTATTGTTTAACTTCAGCCCGAAGGCTATCGTGTTGATCGTAACGTGCCGGTGGTGATCGACCTCAACAATGCCACGGATTTTGAAAAAGTCGTGCAGATGATGTGGCCAAGCGATGTCGTGGAGGGCTCACAGAAAGCACGATTCGAATTAGTCGGTAAGGTTCATTCAGCTACAAATCGCAAAAAAAGCAGGAAGTCAGAAAGAAGACTATAATGGCCTCGCAAAGGCCCTGAAGGGTTAAACTGTACAAATTCGTTCGCAAGAAGAACTTGTCCCATACTTACATTAGCATTACACATCATGGTCAACATCTCTCCACCTGTGCCCCAAAAGGTCAGTTTTAGCACCCGCGTCCTCCTGATTTCCTCGATTTCTTGCACGAAAAAATCAAAGCTATCTTTTTTGCATCTACGATTGTATGCGAAGTGATGACGTGTGATAAAATACATCTTGTCATCATTGAAAAATGTGGAGGTATTGTTACTTCATAAGATGGAGAGATTACGCAGAGCTTGAGCTGCAGAGCTTGAGTGGACTTTTTATTATTTTAGCGAAGATTCGGTTCGAGATTCTTTCGATGTCCACCGAAAATTCACCATGTTTCTCATCTTACTGTGGTCAGGAATAGCCCAGATCCACTAGCGCACCAAGAGCTTCGCAGTGTAACTTATGGATGAGCCTTATGGGTGATCACCTCACAGTCAAGGGGGGGGGACGGTGTGCGGAGGGCGGGCGGGAAGGATGAGCTCGCCGCCGGCTGCTTCGATTCACTAATAGAGAACGAGTAGTGATCAGTCTAGGAGGAAAACAGCCAGTCGTGAAAACGTATCGGGTAGGGATCATTCCATCTCTTTTGAACCTCCCCGACCGGTTAGGACATCATGAACTGTACTTCTTGAGGGTTCATTTTTGCTCTCACAGAAGGGCGCTGGTCACAGCTTTGAGTGGATTTATCTCCATTTACATAGTGGTCTTGTTACGCGGTCCTGCCACAGCTTTTGTGGAAGACTTTGTAGAATCAATTTACGCACGCACTCATGTCCAGCGCATTCTTGACATACTTGTGGTGACTTTTTGTTCATCTAAGGGTTACTATGCAGAGGTTACATCTATAAAACTAATATCGTGTCATGCTCCCAAGGTATAGAGAGTCATCTTCAAAAGTTTTTGTCATGAGAAGAAAGTTTCAAATGTTTTCTTCTTTGTGCAGGGGACATCATGGGACCAGTGCTGTCAAACATCGAAGGCCTTGTACGTATGCCTTACGGATGTGGGGAACAGAACATGCTTAATTTTGTTCCAAATATTGTCGTGTTACGCTACCTGAAAGCCACCAACCGAGCTGAGCCTACCATCGAAGCGAAAGCAGTGAAATTCATGGAAGCCGGTTATCAACGAGAACTCACCTACAGGTATGGGAAAGTTCAAATTGCAGAGTGAAAGATCGTCCTCTAAGCTTTTCGTGTTTTGCAGGCGTAACGACAACTCATTCTCAGCATTTGGCGAGAGCGATAAGTTTGGATCGACGTGGTTGACAGCATTTGTTGTTCGATCATTCGCTCAAGCTCGCGCTTACATTTTTGTCGACCCTACCGTACTCACAAAAAGCATCGCATTCCTTAACGGGCAACAAATGGTACGTTGGACCATCGTTCTTTGCTCACTTGAGTCAAGATTTAGTGCTTAAATGAAGCTCTGCAGGAAACTGGAGCTTTCGCGGAACACGGTGAAGTGCACCACAAGGATATGCAGGGAGGAGCCAGTGAGGGTGGTATCGGTCTCACGGCGTATGTTGTGGTAGCGTTGCTTGAGAACGGGGTAAATGCTGGATTTCATTTGCGGATGGTCCGTAATCGCTTCAGTCAATCAAACTGGTTACAGATTCGCAACGACAACGGTATCGCTTTTCTGGAAAAGCACCTCGATGACCTGAAGAACGACTCGTATGCGTTGGCGGTTACTGCGTATGCGCTGCGATTGGCCAATAGCGATAAGAAGAAGGACGCCTTGGCAGCTCTCGAGAAGTTGCAGATTGTTGACAAAGGTAAATGCTTTCTGAATCTAAGCGCTCGCTGTTCATTTGTTCCATTTATATTTCTTTACTTTTATTAAAGAAAAGTAACCT